TAGGGGTGGCTAAAGCCACCCGACTGTTAACTCGGTCCCAACTAGACTTGCAAAAATGGTGTAGGCAGGGTTTCCACATCTTAATCGGAGTTGTTTTATAATCTATAAATAAAATTTTATTGTGACTTTTATTTTTAATAAATAAAATTATAAAATTTTAATTAATTTATAATAAATTTTATCTAATTTATTTAAATAAAAAATATAAATTTTCTCTTACCTCTCTTTCTTTTATTTTAAATTATTCAAATAAAATTACTATTAATTATTTCTTTTCCTTTTCTTTCTCTTCCTTCCCTTCTCATCTTTTTTCTCATTTTCTTTTATTAATTTTTTATCTGATCATACTTTAAAACTTCTTAAAAGTTAATAAACACTATATTTAACTTAAATATTCGTTCGCAGTATCATTTAAGCAGACTACATAGACTCTAAAATCCTCAGAAGAACAGAAAAATTGAACGAAACGATTTCCCATTATTCTTAATTTAAAACTAACACTACTAGGATAATTAAAGATGGAAGACTTCCCAAAAGAGAGCAACCAATGAACTGCGCTCCTTAGCAGTACCTCCTGCAAGCTCCAGCACATCGTCTAAACCCGACCGGTGCTGCAATTGGATATACCTTTACTAATCCAGGAAGTTCACTCATAGTCTCATACCCAAAGCATAGAGGATTTCAATCGTCTCCTTAGCTATCTCCATATGTCATCGGTCTTGATGGCGGATTGCGGCGTTCGCGCTCCCGCTCCTGCAGCTTGAGCGAGATGCCCCAAACCGGAGCCTTTTGGATGCGCTTCATGAGATGGATTGAGAATCCGGCAGTCTTGATGGGGAGGCACTCGGAAGGGATTATGGCAACCTCCTAGAGTTTTTTTGGTTGGTGCGGAAGTCAACAGTCTTTTTATCACTCCCTCTAATACTTCTTTTTTCATTTTTGGAAAATGGTGGATAAACATTTGATTTGGTATATTTTTTAATATTCATTTGGTTTATTTATTAAAAATATAACATAAATTTAACTGGTTGAATTAGTTCATGCATCTTTTATATATAGTTGTATTTTTAAATTTATTTATTTTTAATTTTATATTAAAAATAACAAGTTTTTAATAAATATATTTTATAATATATTAAATTAAAGTGTATATAAATTAATATCATTTTTAGTAATCATGACCTTTTATTTTTG